CCAAGCGAGCGGCTCGGCGTCCGGACTGACCGCATCTCCTCTAAGTGCATCCACTGGACTCGGGGGCCAGGAAAAGCCGCTGTCCCGAGGCCAGATGTCAGGGAGACAGGGGCAGGGAGTGTCTGGAGATTAGGGAGCTCTCTGCTGGCATGGCAGCTCCCATGGCTGACACCCAGGGGACTTCTTGCTGGTCAGGCCTTGGAGAAGGATTCGGGGTCCAAGGTTTACCTGTGGGAGAGAGACAGCACTGATTTCACAGGCTACCCAGGGTCCAGTCCCCCCTCGTGTGTTTATTCACAACAGTTACTGCACCCGCAACATTGGGAAGTTTGGGATCCAGTGACCTCGTCTGAGCAAGCCACACCCTCGCCAGAGACATGGAAAGGAGCAGGCAGAAGGTCCCCAGAACCCACAGCGGAACCCACCTCGCGGTGCTGTCATTACAGCACAGGAATGTCGTTGTGCATGAGGCTTTATTTTTGTCTGTTTTATTTCTGTTCTATAAGGCAGAGTCCTAGAAATAGAAGAATGCTCATTTGATTTTCACAAAGGATATAATGATTTTTGTTCTCTTGTACATATGAGAGTCCCCAGCTCAGTGCACCCTTGCCAGCTTCCATAATTACAGTGTTTTACCCACTTTATATTAGAGTCTAGTTTATGTAAGATAAATGGCATCCACCGGAAAGGGAACAGTTTGATGGCTGCGTGAACCTGTGAAGCCACCACCACAACCAGAAACTGCCATTGCTTTTGTCACTATGGTTTTGTCTTTGCTGAACCATCACGTGACTGTGACCTTACAGGGTGCAGCCTTTTGTGTGACCCCTCGCGCAGCAGGACGAGTGTGAGGCTTATCTGTTGTGTGGTTGGTCAGTGGTTTGCTTTTATTGCCCGTGATCGTCCCTTGAGTGGCTGTGTCACGTTTCATTTGTCCATCCTCCTGGTTCCCAGTTTGGGGCTGTTATGAATAAAACTTTCAGGAATATATGGGTACCTGTGTGTGGTAGGCACAGGCTTCATTTCTTTGGGGTAAGTACCACGCAGTGGGCAAATTGTTGGTAAATATGGTTAGCTTGTAAGAATCTGCCCATTTTCCTAAGTGGTATTTTTTTATTACCACCAAATTTGGCTCGGCCGGCATGGCTCAATGGTTGCGCATCAACCTGTGAACCAGGAGGTCATGATTCCATTCCTGGTCAGGGCACATGCCCGGGTTGCGGGCTCGATCTCCAGTGTGGGGCATGCAGGAGGCAGCTGATCCATGATTCTCTCTCATCATTGATGTTTCTGTCCCCCCCATTCCCTTCCTCTCCGAAATCAATAAAAAAGTATTTTTTAAAAATTAAAAATAAATACATACTACCAAATATGCCCTCTTAAAATGACAACTTGTTCTTTTAATATGAAATTTTGACTACTTGCGAGATCAATATTTTCCCACATTTTGGCTAAGCACTTATATTTCCCTTTTGATCTGTTACCTGTTTGGGTATTTTACACATTTATCTATCGGAGTCTTACGCACTTTCTTTCATAACTGCTATGGTGCGAACTCTCTCTATTACGGTCCTTGCTCACGTGTTAAGATTTCCCTCCCGGTTTTCTTGTTCCTTTTGCTTTCTTGGGCATGAAGGGAGCTTTGAATGTTCAGGAGGGCAGCTCTTAATGTTTGTGCTGTTTCTTCTTGCATTTAAAAAAATATGTTTTTATTAATTTGAGAGAGAGAGGAAGGGAGAGAAAGAAAGAGAAAAACGCCAATTGGCTGCCTCCTACACTCTCCCGACTGGGGATGGAACCTGCAACCTGGGCATGCACCCTGACTGGGAATCGAACTGGCAACCTTTTGGTACATGGGACGAGGCTCAACTAACTGAGCCACACAGCTCTTCTTGCTTTTAAACTTTGAGTGTCTTGGGTGTGGAGATGGTCAGCATTGTCTGGTCCCCCTGTGGCTCTGGCGTGGCACCCACGGCCCCTCCTGGTGGTTGCTCGAGCAGTCCTTTCTCTTTTTATATTTATATCTATATCTATAAAACCCTAATATGCAAATAGACCAAACGACAGAACAACTGTTTGCTATGACATGCACTGACCACCAGGGGGCGCGTGCAGAACATGGCGGGTGTTGGCAGCAGGGGGAGGAGCGAGGAACATGGCGGGCATAGACCACGGCGGGATAGTAGAGCAGGTGAGCGGGGGCGCCAGACCAAGGCGGGGCACCGGTCGCTGTCATCGGGGCGAGTCTCTGGTGGTTACTGAAAATTCTTTGCTCCCACGTGCCATAGTCCTGCCTGGTGCTTGCACCTGTTGCCGGCACCAGCCCTGCTCGCACCCACTACCAGAACCGCCGCTTGCACCCACTACCAGAACCGCCGCTTGCACCCACTACCAGAACCACCGCTCGCACCCACTATCAGTGCCTGGCACTGGCCCCAATCACTCGGCGCCATCAGCAGGTGCCAGCAGTGGCTGCCGGCCCCAATCGCCCCTCGGGCTTCTTCACTAGCCCCGGTTCCTGAGGGGTGATTGGGGCCGGCAGCCGCCTCTCACACCCACTGCCAGCGCTGGAGTTGCCTCTCGCACCCACTGCCGGCACCAGAGATGCCGCTCGTACCCACAGCTGGCTCCAGAACCGCCACTCACGCCCAGTGCCAGTCCTGATCGCTCAGCGCCGTCAGTGGGTGCGAGCGGTGGCTGCAGCCCCAATCGCCCCTGAGGGCTTCTCCACTTCCTCCTGCTCGCACCATCAGCAGGTATGAGCGGGGCTGTCACCATCAGTGCATGGGAGCAGCAGCAGCAGGAGCGGGGCTGCCAGCAGAGAGGGGACTGGGGGCCGTAACAGAAGGGGCCGGGTGGGGCCATGGAGGATGGGCCGAGACCTGCCCCCGTGCCCACCACAGCCTCGTGGCCCACAGTTCCTTTCAACATGCACGAATTCATGCACTGGGCCCCTAGTATGTATGTATGTGTGTGTGTGTGTGTATATATATACATGTGTATATATATATACATGTGTATATATGTGTGTGTGTATGTGTGTATATATATATTGATTTCAGAGAGGAAGATAGAGGGAGAGAAAGGGAGATAGAAACATCAGTGATAAGAATCATTGATCGGCTGCTTCCTGCAGGCTCCCTACTGAGGATCGAGTATGCAACCCAGGCATGTGCCCTGATGGGGAATCGAAACATGACCTCCTGGTCCATGGGTCGATGCTTGACCACTGAGCCATGCCCGCCAGGCAGGAGTTCAGGTTTTATTCAGGAACTAGAGGTCCGGTGCACAAATTTGTGTATGGGTAGGGTCCCCAGGCCTGGCCGGCGATCAGGGCTGATCGGGGCCTTCCGGCTGCCTGCCGGGGCCTTCCTTTGTTCCGCATTGCCCCTTGGTGGTCAGAACACATCATAGCGAGCAATGGAACTCCTGGTGCCCCGGTCGATCTCCTGAGGGGACGCTTTACATATTAGTCTTTTATATAGATAGATAAGCACAGCACATTTGCTTAATTTTGTAGGGGGTCTGTAGTGGCGTGAGTTGGGCATTGCCTGTTGTGAAAGTGTGGCAGGAATTTCAGATTCGTGGTTGAACACCAGCCTGCCTGGTTCCCCCTGGTGCCTGGGAGCCTGGAGAGGCTGTCAGTCCTGCAGGCTCCGCCTCCCCTCGCCCCCCTCCCCCAGCTGCGTTTATGTGGATCAGGCTGACCTAGACCCTGCTGGAGAAGACCCCTCTCTCCCTGGAGCCAGGCAGGCTGTGGGAGCAGAGGGAGGGGTCGGGAGCTGGTTGGAGCCTGGTTCGCTGGCAGAGCTGTGGCAGAAGTAAACCAAGGCCGGGGTTTCTGCATGTGACTCAGCCTTCCAGAGCCTGATGGCTGACCCCAGGCCTAGGGAGCTTGCGCTGTGAGGCAGGGCACCTGGCAGTCCTGGTCGGGCCACTGAAGTGCCCGTGAG